ATATTCAGTGTAAGTATGCTAATTAGACTTCAATTTTATTTTATTTTTAAGCATGAACTTTAAACTCCAAACTCACAGATCGTAACATTAAGCAGCCCTACAGTGTGTTGAAATCGTTTGAACTAAATCTTTCTTTTAGCCTATTATTGCAGACAGAAGCCGGGAGCCTGTAATGCAGCGCAGGTCAGTAAGAGGGTCTCGCTGGAAAGCTCTGGACAGGAAAAGCGTCTCTGCATCTTTGATGACTAAAGCTCTGTGAACTATCTGGAGGTCAGAGGTCGGTTAGTACCTTTCCCCTTTGGCCTTTGCTTTGCATTTGGATTCCGAGATATCCAAGCTTTTACTGAACGTGCTCTTACTGCAGCGGAAGACAAAGCCAGCAAACACTGAGTCTCTGAACACTGAAATAACGGCTATAAAGAATAAAAGACAGCGTCGTGTCTTTCTTCTCACAGGGGAGGTAAGAGCTTTTTCAGTGGTGTTGGTTACCAAAGTATTTTCCCCATTCGTTTTTATTTCAGATAGCTTTTTGGAAAGAAAGCATGAAATATGAAGCACCATGTGAAAAATGGAGTTTAAAACGGTTGAGTTGAGAAAAAAAAAAAAAAAAACGAGTGAATGGTGAATAATTTCTCAAGCCTCCGAAAGTATCTGCCTCACAGCGGCGTTTCTCAAACCAAACGCAATGACAAACAGCCGGAAGGGCCATGAAATATTCCTCAGCTGTGGACTCGACTGTCATCAGACACGTAACAACAACACCATAGGGGTGTCCCCGACTAAGAATTCCCGAATCGGAATTTTCGAATCTTGCAGATATTCGACTGATAGTCGAATCATATGTTTTGGGGGCGGGGCAAAATACATTACCAAGAGCCAAGTCAGACATTCGACAGTCATAATTACGTTAACACACAGGGAAAATGTGAATCGGACGCCTCAGATACAAACGGGGTAAGTAATGTTTTATGTTTTGATTAAAAGATAGTTAACATTAAACGTCAGCGAAACCCTAAGAATTCACAACATTTTTTACAATAGTGCTCTCATTATAACGTTATGTATATGACAGTAGATATTAATGTTCTGCATTTCTGTTTTTAGTTATTAATATTCTGCATTGTTGTTTGTCCTGCTCGCGCTGCACCCTGAAGAGATAATCACCGTAGTACTACAATGAAGCGCTTTACTGCCGCGCAGACACGTTCATGTGCATTCGGGGCATTTTGTGCAGATAGCCTATAAGTCATAATATAAACATCAAAACTCAACCAAATGCATCTTATACGAGATAAATAACATAGGCTATACACGATATATATAAACCGGCTGAAATGTTTTGAACTCACTTATACCTTTACCTGATCGAAAAAATCCAGTCTTTCACTCTGTCTGTGTCAATTTGAGTCTTGTTAAAGATTTAAATCCCTGCCAAGATGCTCCTCTGTCGGTCACGGATTATGGAAAGTGACACTTAAATCTATAGGGGTGGTTGGATTTATTCACGCATAATCCTTCAGAAATCATTATAATATGCTGATTCTCAATAATTAATAATGATTCTTATTATTATCAACAGTAAAAACAGTTTTTGCTGCTTTATATTTTTGAACAGTGATACATTTTTATTTTGGTCAGGATTCTTTGTTGAATATGAAAGATCAAAAGAACAGCATTTATTAAAAATAAAAATCTTTTGTAACATTATAGATGTCTTTACTGTCACTTTTGTCAATTTGAGTCTTGTTAAAGTTTTAAATCCCTGCCAAGATGCTCCTCTGTCGGTCACGGATTATGGAAAGTGACACTTAAATCTATAGGGGTGGTTGGATTTATTCACGCATGTTAAAAGATTTATTTGAAGCTTCTTTCTTTTCAGATTCTTATTTACAGCATTATTTTAATAGGCTGTATATTAACTTATTGGGAGAAAACCGATAGTTCTATGTGAAATCAGACATTGAGCACCCCCATATAGCCAAAATGGCATGATCATAACACCTCAGCGAATATTCGACTGTGAGATTAGTAGTCGAATCAGGCACCTCCTATCGAAGCATTGAATCTTCGACTATTAGGGGTCACCCCTACAACATCAACAACAAAAGCTTTGATTTCTCTGTATTTGAGTATTGAGTGATAGACGAGAACCCCAGAGGCGGCAAAATGTTGAATTATTGATCATTAATAGGTTGATATAAAGATGTAGTCCTGCTCACAGACTCAAGTCAAGAGATCAAATGCAATATATATATATATATATATAGGGACAACAATATAATGGACAATATATATATCATTTTAAAGTTGTGGAATAATTGTGATTTTTAAAATGTTTTTGAAAGCAGTCTCCTCTGCTCCCCAAGGCTGCCTTTATTTGATCAAAAATACAGTAACAACATTAATATTATGAAACACTATTACAATTTAAAAGAACTGTTTTCTATTTGAA